GGGGGTGGGATGGCAGGGGTAGGGGAACGGTTGGGCTGGGGGAGCTTAAAGGGCTTTGCCAACCCAAACGATCCTGTGATTCTATGAAAATACATGGAGGAAGTCAGAGGAAAACAGCGAAGTGGGATAACACCGAAGCCGTACCTAATACCCTCTCTGCCGGTGCCCGGGAGCAGACGTGTGGTGCAGGAGACGCTTACAGCACTTGCTTATTCCGAGCGAAGCAGGTACCCCGTGGTGTTGCTCCTGGTACACGCTCCTGCTTCCAGCTGTCTGTAGATTTTAAGCATCTCGTGTTTAATAGTCCTTGATGGATTTTTTTTCCTCAGTGAATTGGTGTAAGCGCTCCTGGAGCCTGTGCCAGGCTCTGGGCTCCGCAGCAGCCGTGCTGAAGAGCTCCCGCTCTCCGGAGCGCTGCGTGGAGGAGCACCTCGGAAATTACCAGGTTTGCTCTGATCCTGTCACCCGATCATTATATGTGATGCCACGCAGTCCCCATGTTAGGAGAAATAATGACAGATCCTTCCCTCTTGCCTCCCTCCCATGACTCTCATACTTTCTTGGAGCGCTGGGATGGTTCTCAGGTGGAAGAGCCTGGGTCTGCGTGTCCCGGGAAGCTCTCCCCTTGGCCAGCTGCCCTCCTCACCCTGCCCTGCCCTGTGTTTGCAGTTGTGCTTTGGGTCATTGCTGGGTGCCAGCACTGATCCGCATGACTCCCGGGTAGGGACTGGAGAGCTAAGGATGCTGTCATCCAGAAGTTCTCCCCGCTGCAGTTGCTTTCCCGAATCGAAGAGAAGGAAAAGCCTTCCCGCGTAGGTTCTGCAGGCTGCAAAGGTGGCATTGGCAAGCGTGCGGCCGGCTGCAGTTCTCTGCAGAAGCCTTGTTTTTACTGGAGTTGTATTGACTCCACCAGTCAAGCTCCATCTACGGATTTCTCTTTTCTTCCCGCAGCGGAGTTTCTCTTTGCATAACAAATGTCAGAATTTGCACATCACTGCACGTGCCATCACATTACTTTTCTTTCTGTCTTCCTATCAGCAGATTTTTGTACTTTCTTCCTCCACTTTCTGGCCCGAGTGTGGTAGTTGGAAGTGCAAAAGGGTTACTGTGCCTGCCTAGAGGTTTCATAGCCTCCGAGCCGGCGAGCCGATGCCCTTCTGGTCTCTGCTCTCTAGGTGTAAATCAGGAGCAAATTCCTGGATGCTGCAGCCCTGTGACTGAGAACCTGCTTGGGCCTTCTTGGACCTGGTTTTACGCTGTCAGTCGGGGGAGCGGGATAAATAATGTGTTTTTCCAACCCCTAACACCGCCCCTCACCTCTGCTGTCAGCATCACCCGCGGTGCCGCTGGCTGGGGCTGCTCGGGGCAGCCTGCACAGCTTTGCAGAGAACGAACCTCCGCGTCCCTGGCACAGCCGGGGGGCCCGCAGACCCCCCGCAGTTTGGATGGGGCTCGTCCCACTGGGTGTGCTGGTCCCGGGGCTCGCCGGGGCGGCGCGGCGGCACCACGGATGCCGGTGGGTGATTGCAGCAGTTGGTGCATCACTGCCAAAAGAGTTCCTTGACCATAATCATAATCCTGTCATTCCTTAGGCAATTTCACACACGTAAGAACACGTATGTATTTCGTATGGCAGCACGTCTCCTTGTCTCCAATTTCCCGTGCTCGGCTCGTGAAGCGTGTTTTTTTCTTAAAGCAAATAAGCAGAGTCTCAGGAAGAGCTGAAATGTGGTTTTCATTTACTGTGCCATCAAAATGACAGATTTAAAGATTTCCCTTTGTGTTTATGCCGGGTACTTACTTAATTGAATTCAAGGTTGATTAGGGGTTACAATTAAAATAATTAATGCCTCTGTTCTGAGGGAAGTTCCTAAGGGCTGTATTTTCCTCAAATAATTTGGAGGGCTTTCAGAAAGCTCAGCAGCAGAAGAGAAGAGAGGCACCATTCTTAAACGAAATGCAGCAGGAA